TATATATATATATATATATATATATATATATATATAATAATCGATGTTGTTCTTGAATGAATTAAGAAAAGCATTGTTTTTGAACATTGTTAAATAGTAGCCAATAGTGCCGGAACGATTTGTAGATTTAAAAATAGGTTAGATTTGTGGCATAACAATTTACAACTAGATTAAATACAATTAATTTTTTCCCGCTATGGGCTACTGAATTCTCTATTTTACCATGAAAGAAATCGTGAGAAAAATGAACAGTTTTGAGCTGAAAAAAATGAAAATAAGCAAACAATAAACTTGAAAAGCAGTGATAGATTGATATGATTAATTTGAGTATATAGTAATGCTTTTTTCCATCCTCTATGTAATGTCTCCTTGAATCTAACTTCGTGAAGAGGCAGTGTCCAGGATCCAGCAAACGAAGCGTGGTGTATTACTGAACCTTCGAGGTGTGAAGATCTGTGAGAATTCTTTTCAAATAAGAAAATTATTGCCACTTTTTGAAACTAAATATGTTTTAATGTACCTAGTTGTATAAAAGAAAAACGATAATTGTCATATATGTAGCAAACTATTTTGATATAGGAAAAATAAAGCTTATTTAGCACAGTGCTGTTTATGTCTTATTTAGTGCTTACTGATGCGTGCAGCGAGATACCGGGTTTATGTTTCGGGAACGTTTTGTTGCCGACATGGACAGAATTGAAAAAAATCTATACCATTTCCTACGACACAAGCACGCAAATTTTTGTTTTGTAGATATAAAAACATCTCTACAATGATACCTTTTTGTGATATTAATCGCGATTCACATAACAGCAGTGGTGCTTACATATACAAGTGTCACTTTCCAGTGCGGTCACTTTTGGCTTAGTCGGTTTAAATAGTAGCAAAGCACTTTTCGGCTAGCTCGCATCTCGTGAATGGTTTCTATCTTCCATTACTTCACGTGCAGGGAGTTGTATTGATTCTTCGATGATTCAAGGGTTCCGTGGCTCAACACTCAATTCGATGTCGATCCTTCGACGCTTTTAAACTATGCATATTTTTTCGTCTCTTCTGAAGTCAGATCACGCAACACCCCTTCTTAATTTTTTCCCTGAACCTTATGCCCAAATTTGGTGCTTTCTTTGCCTCTGTAAATTTTAGCCTGTAGAAAAGGCCCTAAACATGCCACCTGACTTTTGAGATGATAGATGGCCAACCAGGCGCCGAACTGGCGATAATTATTTCATATCCAACAAAGCGCGAGTGGGCCCCCAAAATGTAAAAAACTAACATAAAATATATATAAAACGCCCCAGGGAATTGCGGGTACGCTTATAATGCAGTATTTGTAGAGCATGGTATAATGGCTCCGCATCATGAAAAGGACATTTTTACACTGCACAGTGGACTAAAGGTATTAAATAAGCAACCTTTGGTTAGCAGCCTTGCAATTGCTCGCATTGCACTTACAACGTTCAGATTTCGAGCAAAAAGAAAGTATTCAAAATGCTGTCAGGGCCTGGGCATCAACGGAGTTAGCACCATAGTATGCTCCGAGGTTATTTAACAATCCGTAGTAGTAGAGATTTGCTTATCAATTTCACAGTAAACCATTGTGATAAAAAGAAAAATGTTTAAACAATTTGGGTTTAAAATTAATGACATTTCCATTATCAAGTCAACTGAGTGAATAAAATGGGTTACAAACACGAATTCAAAGAAAACAATAGGTTCAAGTTTGATTGTTTAGTTTTGAGATGCTTTTCATTAATGAAGGAACTGAACCGCGTGTTAAAGACTCTGCGTGCAAATATTTTCCAGTATTATATATTTTTACCATTTTTAACCACTGTTTTCTTTTATCTAGTGTCTCAGGAATAGTGTCTTACGAATTCTTAGTTTACCTTTAATTCGGCTGGTACGTTTGAGACCATAAAGTCGCAGGAACCAATGACCACTTTTAATGCTTTCCGCTGAATTCTGCCAGTACCACTGACACAGCAAACAACAAGTGTCAGGTCTAGTCCACAGACCTTCTGAAGACCTACATTACAATCAATCAGTTTATTTTCTTTTATTTCACACTGACGTTTACAAATGCATGTGTCTAAGACTCTATGATCAACAAGAATTTTTTCCTCCATAGAATATCCCTGCAGTTTATTTCTAAGTGTCCTGCTACATTACATGTATGTCTAATAAAGCAGGCTGGTACAAATTTCAGAAAGGGACAAATTTTTCAAGTGCCTTTCGACTGTAACTTCTGCTATTGTCAGTTAAAATGTGGATTAAAACTGAATAATATTATTATGTTATTAGCCATTTCAACAGAGGTCAGACAACAAAGACTAGTGATCATAACAGAAGCCTACAGCTGCTGTCTTGGCCAAAAAAAAAATGTTTGAGGGTCAAAGCATGTGGAAAAATGGCAAGAGATTTCACTTATGTAGCTTTACAGCTAGCACAAGATTCACTTGGGGAAGAATAATTGACTACATTCCTCGCATTGACATCTCTTGGCATTGCTAAATATATGTTGTCCTGTTGGGTTTTGACCACGTGAAGACTCTAATCTTTTAGTTCATTCTGCCCTCTAAATTACCTCCTAAATTTCTCAATTAGTTTTAACTAAATTTTTGCTTTGCCTGTTTTGACATCACTGGCCTAAGAATCAGATCATTTTGTGTAAACAGTCTGCTAATTTGCTAATAATAAGAGAAAATAGATTCAAAGAAACCTTTAAGCCACATAAACATATGAACCTCTACACTATTAATTAACCACTTTCTGCGTGCTTTAGATGAACACTTTTAACATCAATATGTGACTATATATGACAAACAATATACGGCAAAAGATAATCACATGGGTATACTAAGAATTCATTACACATGTATGTTTTTTTAAAGTTCTCACAAGAAATACCTTCATAGCAAAAGGTGCAATTTGGAAAACTTTGAAAACACAGGGGAAATTAATTCTTTATTGTACAACCAAACATCGGGATTACAAATGTATGTTTATCACACACGGGGTAAACTTTCACACAAGCGAGAATTTCCGAGGACTCTCATTTATGTGTCAGCAAACTAGGCTGGAATGCTTACTACTGTAATAGACCTTTTTAGCTGGGATGGTTTGTTGCCCCATTTCAGACCATGTGACGACATTCTGGAAAATTCTTGCTCTCAAATTTTCACATAGTCACATGTATATGAATGATAATTTTTTTAGATGAATACCACCTGGTCTGTATTCAGAACACAAACCACCCAAGCTAAAAACTTCTCATAAATTAAAATCATACTAATAACATATTACCATATATGTCAAGTGCAATTCAATGAGAACAAAACTTACAAATGTACCTGAATGCTAACATTCTCCCCATTTGAGTTCATAGAGAGATTAAGCACAACATTACGTCAAACGGCAAAAATGAAACTTTTGATGTCTGTCTTCAACTGTCTGTACAGTAGAGTGATAATATTTGTATTTGCGGTAAATTGCAGGATAAATTTTTCTATTTTTGTGTGATTTAGTTAGGGATTAGAAGAAAAGAACATGAATTCAGAGGTAATCTTTGACGTTTGCCATCTGCCGTAAACGTCATGCTTAAACTCTTTAATATGCAATGTAGAAGCTTGTTGCTTCAAGAAAATCTAATCTTTGTCAAGAAGAAGACAACTGTTCCACACTAAGAACTTGACTTGTGGCAAACCTAATGAAAATCTGAATTTCTAGATACATGTAGGCAAGCAAAGATTAACAAATGAACTTACAGAGCAACACCTATCATTGGATTTGACCATTCATAATTTCACAGCAATGAGTGATTTAGATTCAGTAGGTCCAAGTGGTGTCTAAATTCACTGATGCCAGCTAAGAAAAGTTTCTTGGCACCATGAATTTTGTCATCCAAACTAGACGACTCAAAGCTTTTAGGCCATTATGAGCAATTTTAGATCACATAAAACAAAACACCATTTTTTCATCTTTCACCAATTTTCCATCATATTTTAGGTAATAACTGCATTTTAGTCAAAATTACCTCAACACCTTAGCTTAGAAAATGTATGTTCAGTCAATCAGACATGAGTGATTACACTCTCAACAAATGAGAGCAAAACACTTTTACAAAAATGACCTTGCTCAAAGAAATTCCTTCTACCTAAACCAAGTACCATAGAGTAATCATGCCCTCTATGAGTAGCAAACAGCCTTTTTTTTCCCAACAAAAATAACCCCAATAGGTACTAAGAAACTACAAAAAATAAAAAGAGTATTGCCTTTACCTCTTCCTTACGTAGTTTCTCAGCTACACAAAACTCTGATTCAATTTTTTAAAATCCAAATCAAACTATGGCCATTGGTAATATGATCACCGCCTTAATATGGTGGGGGTGCAAATTTATTGGCAGTATCTTCCCCGGGAGCACTGTCAGCTGCCTCCTCAGAGAATGGTTTAGCTTGGTATGGATCTCCTTGCCCTTGAGAGGTGGGAAATGAAGCATAAGGTGATGAGTATGAATCACCTGATAGATTATCCCTAGAATATTCAAACTCTGTCAAAAGGCGACGATACTTGGTGAATGCCATAACACTCAGACCAGCCTGAAAATACACACAATGGGCAAATTAGAACAAGTTTTCTTAAGTACGCATTTACGCAGTACTTAGTACAGTGTAGATCACAGATGACATCAAAAATGAGAACAAAAATGTGGTACACAAACCATTAGGCAAGTGTGTCACTGATGTTCTTACCACATTTTGACAACTTCTGTGATTTATTACTGAACAGTTGTACGGCAACGTGGGATTCATCTGTTTTATGTAATAGAGATATATAGGCATGATATATACGTCTGTGCTCCAAAGGATCATAAGTGAGGCATTTTCCTCAGTCATTTTTTGCATGACCCCAATGCTGTGTTTAAGTGTAGTGATCATGAATACCCTAAATACCTACGAAGAGAAGTTAACCTGATGAGCACTGCCTCAGTCAAATTTTTTCCAGCTACAGCCCTGAAGAACCAATCAAAATGCAAGAATGATTTGACTTTTTATGTGATGGCTACAAAAGAAACACCCTGAATGGAAGCATGCACTAAGTGCCATAGTTCTATGACTTGATTGAAACACAAAAGTAGCATAAGCTGCTACTGCCCCTTTCAACAGAGGTTTTGTATTTTGCTGCTAACAGTCTTCTTAATAGACAAATTCTAAGGGGAATGCATGGAATATGTGGTGTGACTGCAGTCTGACAGAGATTGTTATAGGACTGGTGCTTTGTGCTTAAATGTGCATGAGGTCTTAACTTCTGGAGACTAAATTAAAAGCTTAAAATAAAGGTGTTTGGGATATGACTTTATCATTATTATGATTATAATTAAATGTGAACCTGCACTTCTCAACGAAAAATCTGAATTGCTTTAGACCACGACTTCCTTAACCCTGGACTACATGTATACTCCTTTTGGATTTTGAAACTGAGTTAAAGCGAAGAATGAACCATATGCAAGTCATTATATGTACATGTACATAATTTGGCACATTAAAACAATAATTCAGCTTGCATTAATAGATATACCTTCCTGTTCTTAATATTCATACAAAGTGGAGATTTATCCACAAGCTTACCCATACAATAATGGAGAAAAATGAGAAGGCAATAGCTGCTTGGCAATTGTTAATCTCCATTGTAACATAAGTATGCTTGCTTGTCTTTCTCCACATGTCCGCAAGATAACAGAAACCAATAAACCACAGGAAGCACCACAATGCAGAAAATGCTAGGTCACCCAGAGTGATGTATTTCTTTGTATCAGGGTCGTTGATGGTATCAAATTGTACGTCAATGGCAAGGAATGCAATACAGCCCAGGAACGCAATAACACCAATACCAACACCATAATGACATGCACCTGCTTTCTTATTAAACAAGCAAATGCCATTATCTTCGTCATAACCACCAGCTGAAATGCAGCCAAACACAACTATGGCAAAGAGCTAAAATACAAAACAACAACAACTTAATAAATGCACAAGAAGAAATATTCTATACTTAGTAAATACATAATAAGAAATGAGATATCAAAGCAGAGTCAATGTTTTTAGCGATCACAAGCTTTCAGCGCTGTCACAGCATCTTTCTCCAGTGAATATGTTCACATATGAAAATGTTCATATTCACTTGAGAATGACAATGTGACAGCATGATTGCTAAAAACATTGACTCTGCTTGGTATCTCATTTCTTATTATGACTGTTACATATTTACTTGACAGTAAATATGTGTACATATTTTTGCAAATGAAGTGTTTTTATGGGAATTAAATTGAATTACTGAATTACAAATGAATCTTCACAAGCTTAAAAAGATATTAGTCACATACTTGTAGCAAAGAAATCTGAGGGATGTGGCCAAGGTGGTAATTTTGAAATCACATATGGTTTTCCATAAATAAATTCACTGTATGCAAAAACATTTTAGTTCATATCTACAAACATATACCATAGTATTCCAAAAGTAACAGCCCCCCAACTGTAAAATTAATTTTTTTACCTTCTTATTTAACCCCGAAAGTAACAGTTCCCCCAAAAGTAACAGCCCATCCAAAAGTAACAGCCCATCTGAAAGCAGCGGCCCTTTGAAGAAGTTGCTAAAAGAGAAACTCTCTGTTCTCAAGTGCAATGCAGTTGGAGCAGTCTGGCTGCAGGACAACTTGAAGAGTTATTTGTAATCTTATTTCAAACTTAACTGAATTTTTCTTGAAACTATGACTGATGACCTGTATTTGTCCGGCAGCAGAGTCAAATGATACACTGTAGTGTAATCAGTTGCATCGCAATATAATGCAATGTAATAGTTTAATTTCGCCCTACAGTGACCTTTTTTGTTTATACAGTCTGCTTTGTGGGTAGTTAGGAACAAACATAAATGGAACTTTTAATTTCATGTGTTACGCTTCCGCTTTGTGTGAAATGTCTGTTACCGTACAAACGTTTTTTAACCATTCGAAAGTAACAGCTAACGGTAAGTAACCGATACCTGAAAGTAGCGGCCACTTTTGCCTGCTAAATCCGAAAGTAAAGGGGGCCATTACTTTCAGAATTCTACGGTATGTACAATCCATAGCCGTGCCGCAATCCTCAAATACTGGTAACTCATATTAAATAACACAGAGATTCAATCTTACTAATAGAAGTTATTTTACATCAAAATCCCAAGTTTCAACACAAATGCTTAACATTGTACTTAGCAATGGTTTTGCCCCATAATTTTTCAGTTGATAATTTGTAACCAATCCCAAGAGATTCAAATAACTAAGGGCTGATGAGTATGTTGGATGACACATAAAGAAGCTGATTAGAATAATAATTGTTCTTTAGTTAACGTCATCCAACATGGTGAATATGATGTCACTTGAAAAACCAAGAATATGGGAGTCTCTGTAATTAGATGTGAATTATACTTCTTTTTGTTTTGTGTACTAGTGCAAACTTACCAAAAACCTATAGGTTATTAATCAACTGAATTTTTGTTAGTGTTTTAAATGTAAGTAACCAGTCAATGGTGTCAGAATGGTAAAACATCCTTTTCAGAAAAAAGGTGAGCAGAAAATCAATGGCTTAAAAGGCAAACCCACTTTAAACCTCCAGCTAGGAATTGGAGGAATAAAAAACAATAAATAAATAAAAAAATAAAACCTCCAGCAGATAATAAAAAATATTATGGGTTACATGTCAATCAATATTTAAAATTAAAAAATAAAACATCTTTTTTTAACTATTACAAATGATTGCAAGACAATAAGCTGTTTCTTTTACCAAAGTGGAAAGACAAAACCCCCCAAAATACTCAACCATAAAAAAAGGACATTGTGGTCTTAAAATTGCTCATTTATAAGCTAGATGCAGTACTTCAGAAAATTGAAAACTGAAACATAGACTTCAAAACTTCAGAAAATGTTACGGCACGACAAATTTTGTTTATAAATGTTCATTTTTCATGACAACAATTGTCATAATTATTACTGTTCCACTAATCATGCAAATGCAACCGCTGTTAAAATTGAATTCAATTTTAAAAACTGTTAAAATTTATTTTTTTCAAAGGGTAGAAATATCCAAATTTTATTAATGACTTTAACAGGCACCTGGTAAAAAAAAGCATGAAAGAAACTGAAAGTCTTTGTATTTAAAAACAAATAAAATGTTTATCTAAATACAATTTTTAGCTACCATAGTTGTTGTCTTTTATTTTGTCTTTGTTAATATTTCATAGTTTAAGTTTTATAAGTGCCTTTGAATAAAAATTGACAAATTTACATCACCAAGATTTTAAGAGGGATGATTTAGTGCAAGAATCTGTTGAATGTGAGGGCAACTCACTTCTGTGTACATTCAAGATGGCAGACAAACTAGAACTTGCTTCTAAAATGAGACTATGGCATAAAACTGCACATGTCGCACAACAATTATCACAGTTTCCGTTAACACAACAGATTCTAGAGACAGATAGGGACTGCTCACTCTACTTTTGAATTACAGCACGCAGTTCTAGTCAAAATCCATCCTTGGAGACCAAGAGGCAGCTACGTCGGGATGACGCGATATTTTTGGGCAAAGATATTTTCGCGCGAAAGTTTAGTTTCACCCACAAATGTCTTCACCCAAAAATATTGCGTCGTCCTGACTAGCTGCCCCTCATTCTCCAAGGATGTTAAAAATTCATATCCAACTAAAGGGGTAGCATCAGGCTTCAACCCAAATAACCATTTTATTTGGCAGATTTAGGGAAATGTTTGAAAGATATTTTTTGGATATTTAACACATTTTTGTGGTTGATTCTTCATAGTTCTATTTTCTACTATGGTTTTTGGGTTGAAAAGAGGCGAAATTTTGATTACCTATTTTTTTTTCAGATCTTTGCACAATGTTTTGTACAATTTGTATGACTTGCTCACGCTTTCCGGGTTAAGGTTAGTCCCATTAAGTACATAATGTACGGTAGAGCAGAACATTTTATACACCCATGTTTCAACTGACTTGTAAGTTTTCCCTGAGCTGCACTGCAAGTGACCAAGGACAGTGTATAAACCTTCATGAGCGACATCTGGGTTCCAAGACAAAGTTCTTAGCTACCTTATTCATGAACTGCATGCATTACTCCAAGTTGTAGAAGCAAGTCCATACAGGGACAAGTCTGCGTTATCGAACGCAGACAAAGTGAAAAATTCCAAATGATAGTGCTAGCCCGATTAAGCACGATTTAGTTAAGTACTTACAATGGCAATAAACCTTAGAACTGTTTGTGGCTTTTGGAGAAACGTCGTAACCCTGTCCACGCTGTCGCCTTCCATTTTGTTTCGCTTCTTGTTTGATAAAGGGTGAGGGCTGGTTACCCAGTCCAGCTTTAGCGGGAGCGGGGGAGGGTCGGGGAAGGCTCACTCCAGTCACTCCAGAGAACCCAATCTTCCGGTTTCAGAAGACTTCCATTATAAATTTCTCCCAGCTATTTCAAGGAATTAGCTCGCTCGAAAATTATTTTATTTCTCAAATCGATATCTGGTGCCAGGGGAATGCCAGGGGTGCTTTTCATAACCAATTTAGTGCCCAGACTCTCCGGGAAAGATTCACAAGAGCCCTTCTGTTTTGCGCATGACGGACGGTGAGAAAGTGTAGGGTCTGAGGACGAGAATGATTCACAATAGCACTCAATCTCGTTCCCAGAATCTTCGTTCCCCATGACCAGCGGTCGGAAAACGTCGGGTAGGTTATGTCATGTATGGGGACATATATTGTACCGAAATATATGTTTTATATGTGCTTGATATGTTTGAGACGCTTGTCTTACTTGACATGCTTGACTTACTTGAGTTGAGGTGCTCTGCTCACTTGAGGTGCTTTCCTTACTTCAGGTGCTTTGCTTACATGAGGGAATACATGAGGTGCTTTGCCCACTTGAGGTTCCTGACGTACATGACGTACCTACCAAACGTCATTTTCCGACCGCTGGTCAAGGGGAACGAACACTCTGGGAACGAGATTGAATAGCACTGTCAATGGCCGCGGCTGCTACACCCACGACAAGCGATGTCGCTTCTAAGAAAATATCTACGTGTAAACCAGAGCTAGACTTTTCTGCTCCCTGGAAAATGAGTGACTTAGTACTCGTCGTAGAAGGCAAGCGATTTCACGTTCATCGTTGCATTTTATCGATGTGTTCTCCTGTTTTCGACGCTATGCTTTCGTTAGATTTCAAAGAGAAAAACGCAAAAGAAATTCCACTTCCAGAAAAGAAGGCAGACGAAATAGAAGAACTGCTTCGTGCCATTTACCCTTACGTTGAACACCGTATTTGCGAAGAAAACAGTTTTTCGTTACTCGAACTTGCCTGTGAGTACCAGATGGACAGATTGAAAGCTCGTTGCGAGAAGTATTTCCTGTTCAAGAACATGACCAACGAAGAAGCGCTTGAATTTGTCGTTATGGCGCAAAGACTCCAACTTAGTGACGAGTTGATTCATAGATGTATGTCAAGATTTGTGAACCAGGAAACTAAGTGGGAAGTTCTTAAAAAAAACGACCTGTTTGCACAGCTGGAGCCAAAGTATTCTCAGCAACTGGTGGAGGAAAGAGTCAAGTACCTTGAAAGACGAGTGGATTCATGTAAGTCAACGATTAGAACTTTGGAAATGAAGAAGGGCGATAAGGATGATGATGATCATGCCCATTGCTCTTTCCGAAGGCATCTCATGTGGAGGAAAAGGTTAAGAGATCTTGACCATCCCCCTTTTGAGTAATCACTTTGTACAGGTCTGAAACGCACTCTTTTTTGCCTGATAACTCTCAGGTACATAATTGCCCTACTTATAATTAATGCTGTGTTTAGTCTAATTGAGCACTTTCCTGTGGTAACCAGATGTTTCGCCTGATAGCCAGTTTGCCTAATGTCATTTAGTCCCTTCCCCCAAACTGAAAGGTTGAAGTTGGACGTGTTAACTTCTTTCTTTAAACTAAATGAGTGAATAAGACAACGTTGTGGGCATAATGAAACAAAATTACATGAGTGTCTTTTTCTCGTTCTTTATCCACTGACCACGGAGGAACAGGATTTGGGTGAACCGGTAAAGAGCCATCAAAGTTCTTACATCATCAGGCATAAGAGGTGCTAAATTATAGAAAAACAGCTCATTTTGAATTTCAAAGTTGTGGCAGTGCTTGACATAAAGAAATGATCACGTTTGTCCAAAAAATATATAGTTATCCCATGATTTTTAGGCATTTGGGAAATTAAAGTAGTAGGAAGAGTATTAAATGTTTGTTTCAGCAGTACAGATTATCAGTAGCCTAGATAACCAAAATAGATTTCAGATGTTTACACTATTTTCTGGCCACCATATTGTCAGACCATGGAGGTACACCAATATGGCAGTTCCATACTGGGCTCTGTAATTTGTGCAAAGTATCTTGATTAATATCTGAAGTTTGGGATAACATACCTGTGGACTAAGACTTGGAGAAGTTTCTTCTTTATTTATCTCCTATTAGTATGTTATTATAGGACAGTGAAAACTATCTATAACCTGAATAACAATAGCACTCCAGTTGGTCCTATGGGAATTCAACCTGGTCATCAATCTGGGGTCAATTTAGTAAAGAAACTACACTTGTAGTGTTTACACGTGTAATTTACATGTGTTAAGTCTGGCTTGAAAATACAAATTAGAATTCAATATAAGTTTTTTCTACACTGGAATTAACACATGTATTGTGAGTCAGGATACAAGTGTAAACTAGAACTGTAGCCTTCAATTATTGCAAAATTCATTTGAATGCACATGAACTTGTACAAATACAAATTTTAATATCTCTGCTACCCTTTTAAAATCTGGGGGTGTATTTAAAATTCCAATAGATGGATGAAGGCGTCTGCAGGGAGACAAAACTTCTCTCAAAATTCCCTTCTATTTTCGAAGTTAAAAAGTTGTCTTTCCTTAAAATTCCTAGGTTGACGGAAAACTTGTTGTCTCAGGAGCTCATTGAGTTCCTCTTCACTAGAAGACGACATGTTTTGACGTTCCAATATGTTTTCCAGAAGTTGTACTCAGTGGTTACAAGTGACATGTGACTTGTATTTTGTACTAGTGATTTACAAGTTGCACTCTTGTAAGAGTTTTATTGAATTTGATTCTTACCATCCTTTACACATGTAGCTCTGCACCTGCAGCTACAAGTCAGACACTTGTAACCTGGACTTGTGACAGTTTTTATTAAACCCATTTTCGTCTGCCCCTGTAAATACAATGGTCCAACTTGTAGAGTATAAGTGTAAAAGTTTTATTAAATTGACCCCTGGTTGTGCTACTATGATCAAATCTTTACCCCTTGAATATTTATGTTTATCACGTAGAATTCCACATAAGATGAAAAATGCTGTTTATGATTTGCAAATGTCTTCATTGGTTCTGGAGATATATGTCCATTTGAAAACGTGAAAAATATGCAAATGAGAGGACTGATGACATCAAACACTCAACCCACTACATCAAGAAGATAAGTAGAGCTAACTCAGTCAGTTTGCAGCAGAGACAATTGAAACTTGATAGGCTTATAGTTCTACAGGTAACACACCTACGGCTATAACAAGTTATGTTCCCATGGCAACTCACTCTTTTCCAGTCCCCTCCAACCTGATTTCAATATTTTAGTGATTTTCATCTTGAAAAACATTTTAAAAAGGCCATGGACTTGACCTAACGTTTTTTATGCTCACTGGATCATGTAGACGAGGCACCATTGGCAAGTATCAAAATGGAACACCAAAGGTGGCCCGAAAAGCCTTTAATATTGGGGAGGTCTGGAACCCAGTATGTTTCCATGGTAACAAAACTGTTAAGCTCATATTGTGGAGCACATCTAGTAGACTCTTACTGTGAAGAATCAAACATTTCTGATTCAAACTGTCTGAAATATCTTTTTTTGATCATATCTGATCAAAATTCGGTTGAGTTTCATCACTTGGCTAATTTGCATAATTTAAAAACTTGAGTGCCTCAGTAACTAAAAGAGATATTTGGAATTATAACATAACTAAAGCAAAGCGCGCGTTCTGATTGGTTAATTTAGCGTCTACTATTTGCCCATGGGTGTACGCTGCTGACGTGTGTGCC